CGTCCCCGCAGCCGCCTCTCCGCCGCCTCCCTCCGCTATGAATGGCCAGGCGAAGTGCTACGTTGCGGGCCCGCCTGACACGCCCTCCGAGGCTGTCGCTCTGCGAGTTTCAGATAGGTGTCCCCTGTCACTTCCCTTTGAGTCTCGAGCCTGGAATTTGAGGCCATTCCTCCAGGCGTCTTCCCCTGCGTGTGGTCACATAGTCTTAGTCCACTCCGGGGGTGCTAACTGTGAAATTCCGTGCTGAGCTTACTGTGGGGAGAGGGAGCGGTTCTTTTCCCGGAGGTGGACAGAGAGGATAGAGGACTTTTTTTGCTCTTCTATCATGTCAGGTTCTAAAGAAGTTTTAGATAGTGGGAACCCAACTCGATGACTACAAGTAAGGGTAATTTTTTTCAGCAACAATATTCTACTTCTCATTGAAGGTTTCCTAACTGCATTTTAAGACTATTTTGGGGAGAGTAGAATAGGTAGAATCTAGAGTCTTCTTTTGTATCTCTGTGAGTTTAGATCCTCTCTGTAAAATGAAGCTAATCATAGATACAAGGGCAATAAGGAGGCTGAAAAGAGGATTCAGTTAGTTTTTATGTAAAGCATTGTGCTTGTACACATCAAAGTTTAAAAGATGGTAGATGCCATGTTTGTAAGCCACGGGCAAGTTGACAGCCCTGTAAAGGTTTGGTTGAAAAGCATTCCAAGCACAAAAAACTCTAATATAGTTTGGCCGTTTTCTTAACCTGTATACCAATGTGTCCCCTTTTTCTTAACATTTGTTAGGTGCTTACATATGAATGGTCTTATTTATTTTTCAGAACAACTCAGGAGATAAATAGTTGTTATCCCCTTTTCACAAGTGAGAAAATTAATGCTTAGGGAATTGTGGTGTTCCCAGGGTCATTTAGCTCGTGAGCGGTGCACCTGGGTTACCAGCTCAGGTGTTCTGAATTCAGAGTCTGAACTTTATATGCTACATGGTCACCGGGCCTAATTGGCTTCCTCTTCCTGAAGTCACAGGCTATTCTTAGTACGTGAAATACAGGCATGCCTTGTTTTATTGCAGTTCACTTTGTTGCACTTCACAGATGTGTTTTTTACAAATTGAAGGCAAGACCCTCCACTAGCTTTATTGCGATGGTCTGAAACTGAACTTGCAATATCTCCAAGGTATGCCTGTATGGATACCGGTTTATTTTGATTGGATTTGTCAGAGGTAGCATGATTAGATTTGTGTTTTAGGAAGATAACTGAACTCTTAACCAAGCATAAGTAGGATTACTAGCCATTGCTGAGGGCTCAACCTCCACTGGCTAACACCTTCGTGGTGGTCAGGTCTTCAAGGCTGAACAATAATTACCTGTAGCCAGCTATACTTCTCCAACTCAATTTCTCATTAATACTTCATATTCATCACTTATAAAACAAATTTTCAACTTTAATTTTTATTTGTTTAAGCTTGATTTGTATTTCTGATTACCAAAGTATTTACTTCTTACTCTTCTTTTTGGTTGCCTTGTTTGTAATCAAGCCAGGAACCTGGGAGTTATCACCCCGTCTTGTCAATTCAAGATCCCAGATTTGTCTCTGAATTCCTCATTTTCTTTATCCCTAAAAAAGGCAGATAAGGCTGTGTCCATAATCTAGTCCATCCGTGTGTCTGTATTAGGCCTTACTCATTTCTGACTTCCGAATTACTTGGAATTTTCAGAATGCACCAGGATAATCCTAGCGCTTTTATATTTACTGTTCCCTCTGCCTCAAATGCCCACCCACCCTGAATTTATCTGCAAACATGTACTCATCGTAAGTCTTAAACATCTCCAGGGGGCAATCTTCCCTAAACCCCTTTTGTCCTATGAGTCACTTGTTTTATCTTCAGCATAGTAGGTTGTAATCATGATATATTTTTATTAAACTTGCTTAATTATAATCAATCTCCTCTTCCAAGCTACTACCTGTTAGTGGTAGAGATTGGGTAATACATTGCGTTCAATCAATGCAATTGTACTTTCACTTAATTATTATTCATGAACCTATATTTATCACTTTATCTAAAATATTTAAGTCCTATTTATTTTTATATTCCCAGTACCTTGTGCCCTACGGTGGATGCACTGGAGAAGCAGTGTAGTGTTGTAGAAACAGGTTGGGCTTGACTGTTAAACAGATCTATGTTTGAATTCTAACTCCTCTTTTACTGGTGGTATGATTTGGGTGGCTTACTTAAACTCTCTGCAGTGTAAAATACTCAGTATGTATTAGATGCTTAATATTTATTTCCTTTCCTTTCTTTGCCTTCAGTAAGCATTTGTTGAATGCATAAATAAGATTTACACTAGGCATTGGAAGTATAGGCCTGGAATTTAGGAGAGATGTCAGGGCAGGAAACAGATTTGGGGATTATGAGCATGTAGGTTAAAGTCTAGCATGAGAGAGTGACATTATCCAGGGAGAATACCAAGTAGAGGAAAGAAAGACTGAAGACGAAATATTGAGAGAAGTCCATTATTTAAAGGTCAGGGAAAGGGATAATAATGCCTTTGGAAGAAGTGATAGGAGAGAGATCCTATGCTTTCAGCATCCCTTTCTAGATTCCCTAGGAGAATGTGGTGTTGAGGAATCAAAAACAGGGAAGTCAAGTAAGATAAGAACTGAAAGTACCCAAAAAGTATTTGGCAATTTAGCTGTCTTCAGTTTCGTGGTTTCACTGGAGAAGTATACATGGAAACCAGGTTGCAGAGGCATTGAAGTTCAAGTATGAACTTTGAGATTAAAATGTGTTACCTTTTTGTTGCTGAAGAAATAATAGTAATAAAAACTACTGTTTCTTGAATCCATATTTGGTGCCAGGCACCATGCTAAGCAGTTTTGTTTATCATTACAGTAACTCTGAGGTTGGTGGTATTGTCTCCATTTCCAGATGAAGAAATTAGGGCTTGGAGAGATTATGTAATTTTTAGAGTTACATAATTGGTAACAGCTGGCATTGCTATATTTGAATCTAAATATGTAGGACTCTAATAAATGCTAGCTCTTAGTCACTTCTATGGTAGTGTTCATAGTATTTATTCTCTATGTGCTTCTGTCTTTATATATGCTTCAGTATGGTATTACTTTTATATTTAATATTTTTTTATTTTCCCTTTAAATGTTTAAATTACATATAGTAAGAAATTAGGGAATTCTTTTTTGCTGTATTTTACATTCTTTCATGTAGGGTTTGAGTGATTCACCAATAAGTAGTTTGTTTCAGGTATTGTGAAGACACTAAAAACACAAAGGTGGCAAACTTTTAGAGCCTCAACAAGATTGAAATGAACTACGTTTTGCACTAATTTCCAGTTTTAACATTTTTAAACTACTTGAAGTTTGGCCCCTTTTTCTTTATGTCAACTAACTCCCAAACACTTTGTGGTTCAAATCAGTACTTAAAATGGGAATGATTTTTATGAGAACTGTGTCAAGTTATAAAACTTATAGACTTGAAATGGAACTGGAGCTAGAAAGATGAGGAATCATCTAGTTCTATGCTATCATTTTCAGGTGGGGAATCAGAATAGTTAAAAACTAGTTAGATTTAGGGCTTCTGACTCTTAGTGTAGTTTGAAATAGAAGTGGGCAGTGCCGATTTGGAATGTTTCATATCTGTCTGGCACACACACGTTTCTCCTGTACATGTAGTAAACCTTATGTATGTCCTTCCAAATAGTCTTTTAATAACTTTTTCTCTGTCATTCGAAGGGTTCATAGTAAAAAGTAAGTCTGCCTTCCATTCCTATCTACAACCATTGGTGCCCTCCCCCAGAACAACCACTATTGACCATTTTCTTGTGTATTTTTCTAGGCATCTTTAATAAACATATATACATATACTTTTTTTTCACAAATAGTATTACACATGCATCTCATTTTAAAATACATTTTACAATATATCCTGTAGATTATTTCATATCAGAAATTAAATAGCTGGTTCATTCTTTTTGGTATAAGATTAATACTCTATTGCATGGACATACTATATCTCCTTTAAGTATTTAGGTTTTCCCATGATTTACTATCTAAACAATGATGCAGTGAATATTCTTGTTCTTACGCCATTTCACACATGGGTATATTTTTAAAAGATAAATTCCTAGGAATAAAATTGTTTGGGTCAGAACAAATGTGTATTTTACACTTTGGTAAACATTACTAAATTGCTCTCCATAGAGGTGGTACTAATTTATACGCTAACCAGCCATGGTGTAGAGTTCCTATTTCCCCACAACTTTATCAACACGTAGTAATATCAACCTTTTTAATCTTTGCCATTCTGATAAAAAAATGATAGCTCATAGTTTTAATTTGCATTTCTTTAGTGTGAAGTAAGCCTCTTCTTTTTAAAAATCCATTTAAATGTTCTCTTTTTTTGAGAAATGTGGTAATGTTCTTTGACTTTTATTCTGTTGGACTCCTAATTTGGAGAGACTATAAAGGAAGATTTTTCTCCTTTTTTGGTCTTTAAAGTTTTTTTCATATAGGTTTTAAACTGATTGAATTTATTAATTTTTTGCTTATAACTTTTATTTTTTTCCATTGTTATCCCCTATACCCTCTCCCACCTCTCCTCACTCCCTCCTCCCTGTTGTCCATGAATTCTTTCTCTTTTTGCTCAATTCCTCCCCTCCTCCCCCACTCCAACACCTCTCCCTGACCCACCAGAGCTGTCTGCCTGCTCTCTATGAGTCTGTCTCTATTTTGCTGGCTAGTTCAGTTCATTAAACTCCACATATGACTGAAATCATTTGGTACTTGTTTTTCCCTTACTGGCTTATTTCACTTAGTATAATGTTCTCTGGGTCCACCCATGCCAGTTGCAAAGGGTAAAATTGTCTCCCTTTTCATGGCCAAGTAGTATTCCATTGTGTAAATGTACCACTGCATTTTTATCCACTTACTTACTGATCTATACTTGTGCTGCTTCCAAATCTTGGCTATTTGCTGCAGTGAGCAAAGAAGTGCATATATTCTTTCAAATTATTGTTTCTTGTTTCTTCGGATAAATTCCTGGAAGTGGAATCCTGGGTCATAGGCAGTTCTGTTCTTAATTGTTTGAGGTAACTCCATACTGCTTTCCACAGTGGCTGCACCAGTCCGCATTCCCACCAACAGTGCTTGAGGGTTCCCTTTTCTCCACATCCTCACCAACACTTGTTTTTTTTGTTGATTTATTGATAATAGCCATTCTGACAGGTGTGAGGTGATATCTCATTGTGGTTTTAATTTGTATTTCTCAGATGATTAGTGACATTGAGCATCTTTTCATACCTATTGGCCATCTCTATGTCCTCTTTGGAGAAGTGACTATTCAGGTCCTTTTCCCATTTTTTAATTGGATTGTTTGTTTTTTTGGTGTTGAGTTGTATAAGTTCTTTATATATTTTGGATATTAATCCCTTATCAGATGTATTTGGTGAATATGTTCTCCCACTCAGTGGGTTTTCTTTTCATTTTGTTGATGGTTTTCTTTGCTGTGCAAAACCTTTTTAGTTTGATGTAGTCCCATTTATTTATTTTTTCTTTTGTTTCCCTTGCCCGAGGAGATATATCAGAAAAAATATTGCTACAAGAAATGTCTGAGATTTTTACTTTTGGATCATACTTAGAAAGTCCTTTTTTTTGTTGTTCAAAATATGACAGATGTCCCTTTTTCTCCCCAATGACCTATTCCACCCCATCCCACCCCCCTCCCCAGTCCCTCTCCACACCGTTGTCCATACCCTTGGGTTGTGCATATACGCATATAATTTCTTTGGTTAATCTCTGCCCCTCACCCGACCAACCCCCTCCATCCCTCTGAGATTTGTCAGTCTGATCCATGTTTTCATGTCATTGAATCAGTTCTGTTCATCAGTTTATTAAGTTCTTTAGATTCCACGTATAAGTGAGATCATGTGATGTTTGTCTTTCTCTGCTTGGCTTATTTAGCTTAGCATAATATTCTCCAGGTCCTTCCATACTATCCCAAATGGTACGAGATCCTTCTTCTTTACAGCTGCGTAGTATTCCATGGTGTAAATGTCCCACAGCTTTTTTATCCACTCATCTACTGATGGGCACTCGGGCTGTGTCCAGATCTTAGCTATTGTAAATTGTGCTGCTATGAACATAGGGGTGCATATATTCTTTCTGATCAGTGTTTCAGGATTTGAGGTTATAAAAAAGAGTCTCCTATATTTCCATCTAGTGCTTTTATGTCATTTTTTTAATGTTTGAGCCACCTAGAATTTATATTGATTTAAGATATAAAGTAAGTACTTAAAAGTTATTTTTTTCCATTTATCTCTCCAGTTGTTTTGATACCTATTCTTTAATTATTATCTCTTGTATTGAAGAACTTTCTAAGTTCTGACGGGAACATTGATTAGCACAGTGTCTGGGACTTAGTAAAAACTAAATGATGAGAGTGTTGGTTATTGTGGTGGTGGTGGTTCAGTTTTAAGGGGTAAAGGTTTGGCATGAGATTCCTATAAAGAAAGTAGATTTAAGTGTGTTTATAGCTTGTGGGGACATAGCCAGAAGAGTGTAAAAATACAGGAGAGAAGGAATGAGAGTTTTGAAAGGAAAGAGGTGGACTCCAGAGTATAGACTAGAGATTAACCTTAAACATGAGACTGGAAAAAAAAGGTGAGGATGACTGATGTAGATATAGAATACTATAGATGTGAAGGTGAAAGTTGTTAGACTTTTTTTTTTTGAAGTAGGAATTAAAGGCACTTAAATATGGAGGTAGTTGTATTGTAAAGTATTTGAGAAAGAGAGATTTTTGTATTTTTACTTTCTTTTCCTTTCCCCTTCTCTTATAGGTCACCCTTGCAATTATGGATATTTAAAAGGATCAGATAGTGTGGAGGGGGAATTCCCCTCCTCACTCCCCCTTGGTGCTTGACTCCAGGAATAATTTATAAACTGTGGAAAGCTCCTTTTTGAAAAAACTAAAGAACTTGTATTTGATATAAACTTTATAGCACTATTTATAATTTTTTTTTTTTAATTTAAGTGCCAAAATCAATTGTACAAAGATTTATAGTTTTATACTCTTGCCATTAGGGTTTAAATTATAATCCTAAGCAGGCCATTTAGTCTCTATAAATTTTTCTAGTAGCACTATTGTGTCCTGCTTTTTCATTTTTAAAAATTAGTCTTATCTGACTACTCTGAAGAAGTAGCAGTATAAAAACAATTAGGATGAATTCTTCCATCCCTGACTGCACATCAAAGTGTCGATCCCTGAAGCATGCCTCGGATGTCCTTTCTGTGGTCACCAAGGGGAGTGAAAACCAGATTAAGGCCTTTCTCTCTAGTCATTGTTATAATGCCGCAACTATCAAGGATGACTTCGGCAGAAATGCCCTCCATCTTGTTTCCTCCTGTGGGAAGAAAGGAGTGTTAGAATGGCTTATTGAGAAAGGAGTGGATCCCTTGGTGAAAGACAAGGAATCAGGATGGACAGCTTTGCACAGAAGCATATTTTATGGACATATTGATTGTGTTTGGTCTCTATTGAAGGTAAGTATAAATTGTTTATTTAAAACTATTATGTTTTTTTTTAAAAGAGGGAAAGCAGAATACATTCCTATTTTATCCCTCCGGAAATTATTTAGTCTCAAGATAGTCTATTATTTAATCCTGAATTTTTTGGTAATATATGGGCAGCAGTAGCCAGAGAGCCATATTAAACTAATTCAACTTAGCACATAACCAGTTTGGAAAGATCAGTGCTTCAGCTACCTCTGCTGAACTACTTCATATCATCTTGGCCTCATCTCTTATTCTATCCACAATCGTGGTGACCAGTTGTGCACAGGCTTCTAGCAGCTTTGTGTAGGTATAATCTGCATTTTGTTTCTGTTGTGTACTGCATGCCTCTGATTTTATGCCCCAGGGCTTTACAAATGCATGACCAGTTAAAAGTATGGGAGCTTTAAAGCCCCTGTAGAGCAACTCTCTGTTAATGAAGAATGGGAGCTGGTGGTAAATACTTCCTTCCTCCTCTTGTCCTTTGATTGGACAATTATTCTGTAATGTATTTTATAAAGTTCCCAGAATGCCCTGGTAGAATCATGCACTAGCCTCCTTAATAGTGGCCTACTCTTTAGCACATCTTGTATTGGTTTTTGGTCAGTCTTCCTTCCTTGATTTACCCTTCTGGTTTCTCAGCACTGCTCTCTAGGATGTCTTCCCAAGGAAATTACCTGCATGCCAGTCTATCTTATGCTTTGCTTTTGGGGAAGACAGGCAAAACAAACAAACAACAGTTTTCTATATTTGCAGACAGACATCTCCAGTAGTGTTTACTGGTGGAATAGATATGTCTAAAGTCCATTTGCTCCTTGTAGGACATTGGCATGAAATGCCTGTCAGGCTTATAAACCTGATATACACTTAGGTGCTTTTTAATAAGCTAATGAATTTATCTACTGTTTTGGGGCGCTGTAAAAAGTTTTTTGCCATTTTTTTTTTTTAATCCTCACCTGAGGATATGTTTTTATTGATTTTAGAGAAAGAAAGGGAGAGAAAGAGAGAAACATTGATAGTTGCCTCCCATATGCGCCCCGACCAGGGGTCAAACCAGCAACCTAGGTATGTGCCCTGACTGGGAACTGAACCTGTGACATGATTCCAACCAACTGAGACACACTGGCCAGGACAAGAGTTGATTTTAAAGAAATGGGATAGTGTACACACTGGTCCTCCCACTATCTTTAGAGTTTAAGATGTACATATTAAAGTGTCAGAGCCCACCATTTCTAGGGAGCTCTAAAGCCAAAAAAATGTTCCTAGACCTTTATGCAGGTTGTGGCTACTTGGTAGTACAAGTATATAAGTAGTCTTACTAGTGTCCAGTTGGTATAAATAAAGTTTAGGACAAATTGACAAAACTTACAAAATAAGCTCCAGGGATCTAAGTTTCTGGGATCCCATTTGTCATTTCATAGCTTGGAATACTCTGCTCAAGAATCTACCCTTCATACTCTTAAAAAGGTCAGGCTTAGGTCTTCCCACATGGATTTATTGTGTCTAAGGTTTTTGAAAGCAGTAGGCAACATACGGTTTTAAATTTGTTTAGATCTTAGATCATTTCTGATTTTTGTTTTATTGTTTGCTCACTAACTTGAGTAATTTTTGTTCATTGACAATCCTTGGGAAATCAGGTATCATAACCATCTGGAACATAATAAAGTTAGAATTGGTTTTAGTTTATTAGAATCCATTGTTATGAGGCAAGAGGAGATTCCTCTTTCCTGAGGAACCCAAAACCGAGTGTGCCAACATGTCACAGAGTTTTAAAACTTTATGGTTCATCTCAGCCTATAACTATCCAGGCAAACTGTGTGTGTGGATAGGCAGTGATGACTTGTACCAGTTAAAATAGAGATGAGTCTTAGTAATTGTTGAATGTCTTATTAAACTACCAGAAAATATTAGAAGTTATTATTGAAAAAGGGTACATTTTATATTTAAAAAACTAATGAAGTAACAGTAATATGAATTGAACATAGCTCGCTGTCACCTCTTGCCTCCATTATGATTTAAAAGACAGAAAGTATGGTAATAGGGGAAGGGTGTGCTAACTGCCTTAAATAAGTGGGACAGAATGTTCTATTTCATGCTTGAATTTTAATTGTAGAGATATAAAACTACAGATTTCTTTAAATTCATCCTTAAAACACACACATGCATACACGTGCCAAAGTGAAACAATGCTATAAAAAATTTAAGGAAAAACAACATATATCACACAAATAGAAATAAAAGAATATAATTGTCAATGTCAGTAATAGGTACAATAGAATTCAAGGCAAAAAGATATGGTGCACAGTTGATCACATTATGTTTATGTACATAAATCCTAATATATGTATTTTTCTGCCATTGCCTTGAAAACCATTACCTGGGCATGGAATATTGCTCTTTAAATACAAAAAGTGCATGTGTGTGTGTGCATGCACACTGACACAGACCCAGCACAGGGCCTTCTAGGCAACCAGAACTGCCTTACCATGGAAAACTTTCACATCTACTTAATTTTGATTTTAAATTTATTTTTTTATTTTAAATTTTATTTCTTTCTTCATGTTTTCTGGTCCTTCCGTAGTCCACCAAGAATTGGATATTTGATTTCTCTTAGTTCTCTTCTGTGTGTGAGGGGAAAAATGTGTATGCTCACAGGAGATCATTGTTATTAAATGTTTGTTTTTAAAATGTATTTATGAGCTTAATCTGGATTTTTGATAAATAAGAATAAGAAATTACTGATTATAGCTAAATGGTTAAAATATTTATACACACACGTATATATTTTTCTTCTTTTTTTTTTTTTAAGCATGGTGTTAGTCTGTATATTCAAGATAAAGAAGGCTTGTCAGCTTTGGATCTTGTAATGAAGGATAGACCAGCTCATGTAGTATTCAAAAACACTGGTAAGAAAATTCCACATATATTCCATTAAGATACAGCTTAGAAAATTTTAATGAAATTTTATTCTTGTTAAAATAACTGAGGAAATTTGTGTGTGTATATCTGCAAAGAACTTACTTTGGTATGTATGTGTTGATATTTTGGTTCTCCATTCAGAATACTTCTATTTATTTTGCATTTTTCAATTTTAATCTATTTTATGTCTATAAGACTAAAACGCACAGCCTAACGAGGGAAGGCATTTAGATTTGTAACTACTGTAAAGTCATTAATGTGCATCCAGAAAGTAGCATCAACATTTAAGGTGGAGAGGAAAAGTTAGTTGTTTTTCTATCCACACGTTCTTCTAATTCTTATCCCTCCAGTTTGTTTGCCCTTTGAGCTCTGGAACTTGGCTGAAAAACAGAAGAGATTTAAATGGGGCATTTTATAATTTGCATTTAACTAGTGATCAAGCTAAGAAAGGACTCAGTCTTCATTTTTATTTCTACCTTGGATACTATGTTGCAGGTTACAGTTACAAAGGAATTACATGAGCCTTCCAAAGTAAAAATGAAGATTCATATAATAAACTTAGCCGTGATTAAGTTTTATCCCAGCTTAATGGGTACTCTAATTAGTAGTGTTATTTACATCTGTCAAGAGCAAACTATTGAAAGTTAATGTTTCTGTAGGAACAGTAATTAATATCACACTTGTTTCATTTTGAACTTTTGTATATATGTATTAATAAAATTTTATGTTTAAATAACTATTCTTTTCATGGAGACTAAGTGGTTATGGCAGGTGGTATTTTACTCACTTGACAGTTAAACTTTAAACTTTAGTTAAACTTTAGAAACAAAGAACAAATATTAGATTGCTCACATTGAGGCAGGCCTGTGCTGATTTAGATTTTCTGATTTCTATTTCTAGAGTTATATAATGTACTAGTAGATTCATTATTTATTTATTTAAATATATCTTTATTGATTTCAGAGAGAGGAAAGGAGAGGGAGAAAGAGAGAGAGAAACATCAATGATGAGAGTGTCATTGATCGAGCCCGCAACCCGGGCATGTGCCCTGACCAGGAATAGAACCCCGATGGCCTGGATCCTAGGCTGACACTCAACCACTGAGCTACGCCCGGCCAGGCATTAGATTCATAATTTAAAAGAGAATGTTGGCAACATCTTTCTAAATGTGGTGGTTAGTTTCTGTAAAGAGTCATGTGAGAGGTAAAATGATTATTGGAATATATCTATAATTGAACTACACTAATATTTGTTTTAAAATAAAAAAGTATAAAAATTTTCATTTTAGATCCTACAGATGTCTACACTTGGGGAGATAATACAAATTTCACCCTGGGTCATGGAAGCCAGAATAGCAAACACCATCCAGAATTGGTGGATCTGTTCTCCAGAAGCGGAGTTTATATTAAGCAGGTATTTTGAAGTATAATCTTAGTACTTTTAGAGATTAAAAAGAACTTCTGTATTTGATAGCTCATCTTTTCATTTATATTATGTTAACTTGGTCGAAGATATGATAATATATTTGCATGAAGAAATCAATCAACAGAACTTTCCTCATTTATTTTAGATTTTGTTAGCCTTAATCATATTTACACTGTGTAAAATAGCGGAAACCTATGAGATATTTGTCAAGCACTGTTGGAAATTCAAAGGCACTATACAGATATTAATTTAATTTTAAAAGCGTAGACCTTCTGTTGATTATCTAGCTTTGTTTCCGTTTAACAAAAATTAAGAGTTTTTCAAGTTGTTTCTCAAGTGAATTCATTGTTGAAACTCAGTTTCACTAGTTTTACGTAAGTGAACCTGAGTTCTTAAATATAAGTAATTGTAAAATTAATTGATATAATTGTAAAGGTTTGGTCTTCTATTATTATGCTGATGTTATCTTCCATTTCTATGGATTTTACTACTCTTGACATACTCTTCTTTCTACCACTGTGTGTGTGTGTGTGTGTGTGTGTGTGTGTGTGTGTATTAAACTGAGCTTGAACAGGTCTTCAGAATTCTTCTTAAAATGGTATTCCACCCATCAGCAGCCACTAATGACTGATCAGAGTTGGGGCACTTTAGAAAGATACTTGTTTTCCCTTTTTTTAAATCCTCACCTGAGGGTATGGTCTTTTTAAAAAATTTTTAAACTTTTTTTTAGACAGAGAGGAAGGGAGAGAGAGAAAACAAACACACACATCAATGTGAGAGAGAAACATCGATCAGTTGCCTCCCATTCGGCCCCAACTGGGGTTCGAACTCGCAGTCTTTTGGTGTATGGGACGATGCTCCAACCAACTGAGCCACCTGGCCAAGGCTCTGTTTTCCTTGTCTGTGTTAGTACATGGACATAGATTTCATGAACTAAGATTTTTTTTCAGGAGCAGAGGTTTTTACACAAGGGTGAAGGGCATCCCCCCAACTTGTCTCTCTGTCTTCAAATGGTATTTCCTCTTCTTATAGGGACACTAATCGTATTAGATCAGGTAATGACCTCACTTTAACTTGACCACATCTGCAGAGGCCCTACTCCAAATAAGGTTGTATCACAGGTGTCAGGGGTTAAGATAAGAACATGTCATTTGGGGTCACAATTCAACCCATGATGGCAAAGAGGCTGTGGTGAGATCAGGGCAGAGCCTGAAGCTGGGTTTCAGATTTAGCATTTCTTTGAAGTCTCCATTTTTAATCTTAAAAATTCTTGCATTTAAAAATAATTTCTGTTATATATTCATGTTTGTTTTAATGTGAACTAACCTATTTTTTGTAAAAGAAGGTAGACTGATTTGTACATGTCAGGAGTCAGCACGCTGTAGCCCACGGAACAAACCTGGCTCAGCACCTGTCTCTGTAAATAAGTAAGATCAGAGCACCAAGGGAAAAAAAAAAAGAGTAAAGGAATAATGGTGACATTAGGAAACCAGAAGCTGATTGTACCTTCTGATCTGAAGATATATGTGCTATAGAAAAATTGAGCATATTCCATTTGGCAGAGTTATGGATGAAACAGTACACTCAAAGAGAAAGCTACAGCCCTGGCCAGTGTTGCCTGATGGTTAGAGCCCCCCCCCCCCC